CATCCTATTTTAGGGCATTTTCCCATCTCCCATCCCTTAAAAGCTGTACAGTTATAAAAAAATGCAACTCTCAAGCAAAATAAACTTTTTTTTGTTTGTTTTGTTTTTTTGCAACATACAAAATAAGTTAAAATGATTGAGAAGGCCTTGAGCCATTAAGTTCCCCAATAACTGTGTTCTGGTTGTCCATAAGCATGACACGCAGGCTCCTAGTCTATGACCAGAACTCAATAAATATAGATCAAACAAAACCCCAAAACACTTAAAGTAGATTTCTTTAGAAACTGATGAAAGTCAAGAAAATATATAGTTAGGGTTAACAACTCCATTCTCAACTTACATCATCCAGTGGCAAAAAGAACAAGGCAGGTTATTCAATCCTTAGCACATTTTTTAGCTCGTACCGGTTTGGCAAAAAAACACAAATGTAGTTCCTTTAAAAATGTTCTTTTAAAATGTCTAAGGAGCTTAACAAATTTCTGCTCATCTATTAATTTTTATGCCGTCTCATATAACTTATGTATAAGATAGGCAAAGTTATTAAAATAAAAATATCTTCATTAACTGAAACCACTACAATGTGCCAGAATTGAGTTTACTACATTTCACAGAGCAAACTGGTATAAACATGACATGAAAAAAAAATTGAGCTTAGATGTCCAAAATGAGGAAAAAATCCACTAATGGGATTCTATTCTAATCAAATTCTGATATAGTTTGTATGAATAAAAAAAAGTGTTGAGTGTACAATCTAAAGTGGTTATACACTAACTTCATTATATATTGGCTTATGACTGCTTGCTTGGGAAAGACTATCTTCAATATGTTACAGTGACTTAGCAATTCTTGACACTCAAAAATATTAAATGATAATTTAAGTTGGAGTGGTGAACACATAACACAATAACCCAGTTTAAAAACATTGATAGCAAAAGGCCTTGTCTTTCAAGATTGGTATAAAAGCAATAAAAAAAATCAGCAGTTAGCTTGCCACTTCCAAGGTAGGTTTACAGGTACACACTGGGAATGTTGGATAAAATAGGAATGGATTTTAATCTAAGAAAGTTCAATAATGGATCATATTAAGCAAAAGAGGAATAGGTAGATTATAGCAGATATGTAGTCTTGGTATTCTCCACTTTTTGGAGAACCAGGAGTATATTTTAAGAATGTCAGATAAGTATTTTTCTCTAGACTTTCTGTAATTAAATGATATTCACAATTTTGTATAAGTTGTAATAATTATTTGTCTTCTTTTAATAGTCAATTAATGAATTCATTTTTATTTCTTCTTATACTTATCTGAAGTGTGTGTATGTATTTATACATACTCACACACATATATATACACACCATTTAAACAAAGATCTGGGTCTCTGAATACTTGTTCAATAGTTGTGAGGCAACACCTTGAATTATGGACCTGTCCACTATGTTGGTGAAGAGTGGCATTCACGACTTTTTCTGAATATTAAATCTATAGATTCATTAGGTTCCTTACAGCTGTACGCTAGAACTAGAGAGTGATTAACATCTCTTTTGCACACAAAAAAGCTAAAAAGGCATTCCTTGTGACAAAGGACATTCCATCAATCCCACTTAAAAATAGCTAACATTTCCCTATCATATTAACTCTCAATTTAAACAAATGTCCATATTTTTCTTAATATATGTACTTTGCTCAAATGTATATTATGGGAGGTGTTTTATCAACCAAAAAGTGAAAACTGGACAGTATGTAAAATCCTTTTAAAATTAATTGATTTAAAAATCATTTTTTCAACAAATTCGTTAGCATTTGAAGTTCCTGTTTCTTTGGAAGGTCAATTAAAAAAAATAGATTACCAGTACACATGGATTTATTCTAAATGAAACTCACCTTTATCCTCTGAATCTGCAATCTTGAGCACTTGGAAAAAGGATGTCAAGGAAACCCAACCTCAATATGTCATTTATATTCTTGAAAATATCTCTGCCATCACTTTGCATTAATGTGCCAACAATGGAAAAGGTTTTATACTAAACACCATTTCATCAGCATAAATGCACAAAATCAAAGTGTGTATTATTAGTCTGAGTCCTTTTCACATATATGTCTATTCGAAGTTTCTGCTTTGTGAAAATTTGGCTAATTTTCAAATCTTTACAGAGATTGCAAACCAAATATGCTGAATGCTAAGCTACATCTCCCCTTCATACACGTGCTGTAGACTAGGGAGTCCAACTTGTATTTTTAGAAAAAGGGTTTAAATTATTAAAGGGCTCTATTATATAGTAGCTATTGTGACTCTAAATCCATGGGTTACTTCTCTAACAAGGATCCAAGATGGCCTAAACTCTAGATCAGTTACTGCTTTCCTATACTTTCTCTAGTTCCTAATGACTGTATTGTACCTTTGCATACAGAACACTTATTTTTTTTCCATATTTTGGTTTTTTTCCCCCCACTTCAAGGTCTACTCAGAGTGAATATTCAGTGAACATAGGTTCTTTGAGGGACTGAATCTAAAAACCCAGCAGCATAATTGTTTTTGAACTGTTCAAAATTTAATCACCTATAATCAATCTGCATAATAATAATTTATATTTATCAGCTGCTTGGATTACATTTTTGGTAGATGACCAATAGTTAATTGGTTTAATCAAAATATAAGGTGAGAAGGGATACACTCACTATCAAGTTGACACTTATTCAAGTTTGGTAAATATCAGGCAGCAAAAGTGGTATCATAACCCATGTCAGTAGGACATTTGCTAAATGCAATACTCAGTCTTTACTACGATAAAAATTACCCTCGGCTTTCTATAGCAGAAGGGTAAAAAAAATTCCTTATTTCACATTTAGGCATCCTGTTAAAATAAATTATCTCATTTAATACTATTTCTGATTACTTGGCTTAACTGAGCAGTAGAACTCATAGGTGAAAGAAGCTGGTATGTCCAGAGGTAGAGACAGGGCACATGGGAGAGTTTCTACATGATAGTGGCTTTACCCAGCTGCAGAAGTAAAATGGTGGAGGGAGAACGGGTGGCAGGGAAGGCACCTGTACATTCGAACCACTTACCTTGTACTACTAGGAATCCTTCTATATTGCTTGCCTGTTTCAGATAGTTAAAATGGTTAAAATTCTTAGCCGACTTTCAAATTAATAAAACAAACCTAGCCAGAAAGGAGTTTCTGTAAGCAAATGTGGCTCCTTCCAAAGCCCTACTTTACTGTGAATGAAAGCCCTTCCCTCCCTTCCAGTGGAACATTGTCTCAAAATAAAAATCACAACTTGCTTGGAACCACATGCTATTGATGCATCCTATTATTAGGCTGCTTTCATTATTTTATTTTTTATACAGATACATACACATTGCTAGAATCAAAGCGAAAATATTAATGGGCAGGTACTACAGAACTAAAGTGAAACAAAAGAACCAACAGCAACTGAAAAACAACAGCTATAAACTTCCAAGGCCAAAAGATGAGACTTAAGGGCAACATCTGTTGAGGAAGGAAAAGGGGTATAATGTTCCTAGAGAGGTATTTAAGATGCAAGTCTAATGCCAGCTTTTTAATAACAAAAAAGAGAAGTGCTTTACTATATACTGACTAGCACATATAATACTTAATCTGGAAAGAAAAATTAATGAAGTTCCTTGGGCCAGCAGCAGATATGGTGTGCCCATTGCCGGCAACAGACACAACATTGGAACAGAAAAACCAAAATCCCAGGGCAAAAGTATTCACAGAAGTAATAGTTGAAAGTTTCAGAATTTGACAGGTAAGGTTTAATCACAAATGCTACACTCTGTACAATGTTATGGCTCTGCCTGAAATTTTACAGCTATAACAGAAACTAAATAAGATAAAAGTTCATATTTTAGTGTCAATTACATGTTAGATATTTAGTTACAAATCCCTTTTTCTGGAAACAAAGGGCTTATCTTTCTTTAAAGTGTTGAGATGTTTGAAATGGATGTCATGCCTATTAAGTATATCGGCAGTTCTCATTCAACTCTACGTTGGTTGTGTGACTATTAATGAATTTTAATAGAAGCCTAATGGCCAAAGGCCAAAACTACATTCAAACTCTGCTAATATATCCAGGCAGATAGGAAATTCTCTCTCTCTCTCTCTCACACACACACACACACACACACACACACACACACACACACAGAGACTCAAACTAAAAACCTCCCAAAGGAACTGCTTTGTTTGTAGACTTCAATTTGAAGTAGATACTAAAGGCAAGAATAGACCAGTTAAAATTCACCTGAAAATCCCTTCCCCGTCTTCAAATGTGCTAAAATGCTGCTGTCAGCTTAGCATCTCTTCATGTATGTTATATATAGATGTGTTTCTTTCAAAATGATATTTCAAATATTTAAACACCAAGTGGCCAGAAGACAAGAGTTACACTACTGGCAAAGTTTACATTACACCTAGGCCTTAAGAAAGACCACACCCATTTCATTAGTAACTCTCCATCAGACACAGTATATTAGAGGCCACCTTATCACCACTGCATAAAGCTATTTAAAAAATTTGTTGCTAGCACAGTCTGGTTGTCAAAGCTTCATTATACATTTTACTGTACAAATGCTTTTCAGATGATTTTATTTTTTTAAACAAGAAATTCCGCTATAACAGAAACTTAGGTTAAAGGTTTTTATGATGGTACTTTCACGGTCTCTTCTTTATTAAATGTGGTTACCTCCAGTAGTAAACAAGTTGATTTCACGAAACCTGTTACTAAACGACTTATGTATGATGTTATCTACAATTCTCAAACTGTAACAGTACAGACTTGAACTTTTAAACAGTCTGTTAATCATCATCTATGCCATGAATGTTTAAATATAATATATATTTAATATGAAAAAGCTAAAGCACAAGTGCTTTCTCCCACCCCTAAATTCGGTTTTGGGCCCTCACAGATTTGGAATGCATTCTTATCCACCCTTTTTCACAAAGTCAGGAGAGCTCAGGAAATATAAAGTCAAAAATATACAAATCTTTGTTGTTATTATAATAAGATTTTTTTTTTCCATGAATGAAATTACCAAGGACCATGAACTTGGAAAAAGAAAATCAAAAGGAATTTACAGCAATTATTTATCTTCAAAGTTCAAAACTGGTCACTTCACAGAAAGACTTCAGGGTGTGTTGAAATTTTTTTCTTCTAAAAGTCATTCTGTAGTGGAGTTTTCTAGGAAAAATTAAACAGCTTTTAATAACTGGCCCGCTGGTGTGAGAGCTACCGTGGAATAAATTAGCACAAAAATGGAAAAGAAGTCTTATAACTGTTCACTGTTACAGACATAATCAACAAGGTCAGTCACTCTCAAAAGCTCATCTTCCTCCTCTTCTGGTGCCCCTGCCTCCTGCCCACCACTTGTCCCATTGGGGGCTAGGTTTGCACTGGCTGTGCTGTTGTCCTTGGGGGTCTGAGGCTTCTCAGTTGGCTTGCCAATCAAGTTCTCAATGGCTCTGCCGGGACTCTGTCCATTGGTGGAAGGTAAGTCCACTAAGCTATAGTCCAATGGGCTCCCCACTTTGCCTACATTTTCAAAGTCCTCTTCATCATCACTTTCTATCCGGTAGGGCTTCTTGGTGCTCTCTTGTTCTGAGGGCAGGACCCTGGGCTGGCTGTCACCGGCAGGCTGATCTGCATCTCCATGAGCATTGTCACAACTCTCTTCCTCATCTGTCTCAATCCGGTGTAGCCGTTTGCGGGATGGTTTGCCTTCTTCTTCTTCCTCCTCCTCATCTACTTCTGAATACTCATCTGTACTTCGGCCTCGCTTTCGAACTGACCGCTTTGATTCTTTAGCTAGCTCATCATCTTCAGAGTTCTTGGACATATAGCTCTCTAGAATAAACAGCACATTTAAGCCATTGACACAGTTAACCACAAATGGATTTAAGTAATTCTCCCTTTCCTCCCCATGTTCACCCCATGTCCTACTCTCCTACTGTCAGACTTGCTTGTACATAAATATTCCCCTTCAATAGTTGGCCTGATTTCTCTCATCTCAGTCTCAATATGAATATGATGCATATTGTACTTTACCTATGATTTTAAGCAAGAATAGATTTCCTGGGGAAGAAAACTGATAATCCTTGAATTAAATAAAGATAGTACAGTTTGGTCACAAACTAAGAAACTCCTTACCACTAGTCCTCAAATTAGGAAATCATGTAAGCATACTGACAAGGAAAAATTAAAATTGGGCACCCAACTCTGTATGTCTGAAACACTGTGCCAGCTCTAATCTCATGTTATCAAATGCCCTTGGTAGTCTTAAATGTCTTCTCTTTTTTGGCTATACAGTCAGCCCTCTGTACCCATGGATTCAACCAACCACCAATGGAAAATATACATACAAAATAAAAATAGATGGTTGCATCTGAACTGAACATGTACAGACTTTTTTCCTTGTCATTATTCCCTAAACAATATAGTATAAAAACTATTTACATAGTATTTACATTGTATTAGGTGTTATAAATATCCTAGAGATGATATAAAGTATATGGGGGGATGTATGTAGGTTATATGCAAATACTACAGCATTTTACATAAAGGACTTGAGCATCTGTGGATTTTGGTATCTGCAGGGGTCCTGGAACCAATGCCCCATGGATACTGAGGGATGACTGTACTTACACCTTAATAGATCTCACTTAATCTCATGACTTTGCATACCATCTATATGTTGATGACTTTCATATTTGTTTTAGGCAACCACTAAATTCCAGGCTAGTGTTATCAAACTACCTACTCAATATCTATGCTTGGATATCTAAATAGGCATCTCAAACCTAATGTGCCCCAAACTGCGCTCCTAAACCACCTCCTTAAATCTGCAGCACTGTGGTCTCCATAATCTTAGGTTTTGGCAACTGTTCTTCCAATTGCTCAGTTATCCTTGATTACTTCCTTTCTCTCATCTAACCCAACAATAAATCCTTTGGGTTTTACCTTTCAAACATATCCATAATTTGACTGCTTTTCATCTGTTTACTGCTACTGTCCTAATCCCTCCCACCCTCATATTTCACCTGGACTATTTCAATAACTGCCCAACTGTTCTCCTAGCTTCTGCCTTTGACCCCTTCAATCTATTCATAACACAACTACCATAGCAAATTAAAATCTAAGTCAGAGGCCGGGCGCGGTGGCTCACACCTGTAATCCTAGCTCTCTGGGAGGCCGAGGCAGGCAGATTGTTTGAGCTCAGGAGTTCGAGACCAGCCTGAGCAAGAGCGAGACCCCGTCCCTACCAAAAATAGAAAGAAATTAAATGGACAGCTAAAAATATATAGAAAAAATTAGCCGGGCATGGTGGCACGTGCCTGTAGTCCCAGCTACTTGGGAGGCTGAGGCAGGAGGATCACTTGAGCCCAGGAGTTTGAGGTTGCTGTGAGCTAGGCTGATGCCATGGCACTCTAGCCTGGGCAACAGAGTGACACTCTGTCTCAAAAAAAAAAAAAAAAAATCTAAGTCAGATCGTATCACTCCTTTGCTCAAAGTCCTCCAGTTGTTTCTCATCTCACACAAAGTAAAACCCAAAGTATACACATGGCCTACTCTGTGCTATCCAATATGGTAGACACTAGTTACCTGTGGTTATTTTAAATTTAAATTAATTAAGATCAATTAAACTTAAAAATTCAGTTCCACGGTTATACTAGCTACATTTCAAGTACTCAATACGGACATGAGGTTAGTGGCTACTGTACTGATCAGCACAGACACAGAAAATTTCCATCACTACAGAAAGTTCAGCTGAACAGCGCTTTTTCATCAGAGGCTAGCAAATTTTTTCTGTAAAGGGCAGGCCCTAAAGTCTCTGTCACAACTATTTAACTTTTTGTGAACGCGGGCATAGACAGTTTGTAAACAAATAGGCGTGGTGGTCTTCCAATAAAACTTGCTTTGCAAAAAGGTTATTTATATAAACAGGTGGGCTGTAGTTCGCTGTTGCTCTCTATCTGATTTGGTTCCTGCTGATCTCTTTCCTTCATCTTATTACTCTTCCCGTCACTCATTCTGCTCCAGCAACCCTGGAATCCCTTCTGTTCCCTCATCATGAGAGAGGCCTTGCCTCAAGGCCTTCACATTTGTTGTTGCATCTGCCTGTATCACCCTTCTTTTGGATAACTGCATGACTCATATACGTTGTTTCCTTAAGTCTTCACTCAAATGTTGTCTTCTTAATGAGGACTTTTTTTAGTTAATATCTGAAATTCCAAATATTCTTCCTTATTTATAAACATTTATTTATCTTATTTATTGCCTTTTTCCTTCCAACTGAAATAAGAGTTACGTGAGGGCTATTTTGTTCACTGTGTTATTCCAGTGCTTAGGATAGGGCCTAGTTCAATAAATACTCATATTTAATGGTTAAATTAATAAATACGTTTATCTTTATGCCACATGAACATAAATACACACTCAAAAAGATGTTCACCTCTCTTCTTTAGCCTCCCATATCCAAACATTTCTTCTCCTTTCTCTCCTGGCTTGGGCTCAAACTTTATTTAACTTTAATCTATGAAAGCCACCAATCTTCAAAACAGACCATAAACAATGGTGAATTAAATATATAAAAAAGAAAGGTGGAAAGATGAAGGCTGGGGTCATTTAAAATGAGTTTGGGCAGAGCTCTAAAATAACTACAAAGATTAAATGGATCCTAGCACTCAGGGAGGCCGAGGCGGGCGGATTGTTTGAGCTCAGGAGTTCGAGACCAGCCTGAGCAAGAGCGAGACCCCGTCTCTACTAAAAAAATAGAAAGAAATTATCTGGACAACTAAAAATATATAGAAAAAATTAGCCAGGCATGGTGGCGCATGCCTGTAGTCCCAGCTACTCGGGAGGCTGAGGCAGGAGGATCGCTTGAGCCCAGGAGTTTGAGGTTGCTGTGAGCTAGGCTAACGCCACGGCACTCACTCTAGCCTGGGCAACAAAGTGAGACTCTGTCTCAAAACAAAAAACAAAAAACAAAACAAAAACAAAAAGATTAAATGGAGGCTGGATGCCTATATTCCAGCTATTGAGGAGACTGAGGCAGGAGGATTGCTTGAGGCCAGGAGTTCAAGGCGATAGGGCGCTATAATCACACCTGTGAATAGACACTGCACTCTATCCTGGGCAACATAGTGAGAACCCATATCTAAAAATCAAAATCAAATCAAATCAAATCACAAATTTATATATTAGAGCTTTTTCTGCACTTCCAGTATGGGGCACAGCTAAAGTTACTAAAAAATAAAACAGTTACCAATTCAAACTCACAGTTAAGGCTGAGAGACGGTAGGCATTTTGTTGAAACTATTCAACTACTCAGAGCACTGGAAGTTATTTTAAAATGAGGACCATGAATAATAGGGAGGGAAAAGGAAAAAGGGGAGTATATCTTGATCAGATCACAATTTTCTGAGACTCTTCTAGTTTCAATGAAAAACTTAATTATTGCCAGGGAAATCTTAAAAATTAGCCTTTTATCAAGTATTATTTAATGAAACTATAATTAGTGACCAGGCACAAAATTATGGGTTTCATACCAAAATATGAATTTTAAAGAAATAGAACAGAATCACAACAAGGAGTTCACTTTGTAATATCTATTTTTGCCTTGTCCAAACTTCTATAAATAGGGTATCTATTCCGTACCTTCACTCTCTGAGCTAGAAAGTCTGCGCTTGTGAACTCGTCTTATTTCTTTACCACGTCGTAAACTCTTCTGGGAACCGTCACTTTCTGAATCTTCTTTGTAGTTAATCTGTCTTTTTTGGTTTCTCCTTGACCGCCTTCGACGAGTTTCTACAAAATCATCACTAAAATCATCACTGAAGTCACTTTCTATTAAAAAAAAGAAAAGGAAATCAAGTATAAAATTTAAGTCCATTAAAGTAGAAATGTGGCTAGCTTAGGTTATAAAAATGTAAAACTATTAAGCAGAGTTTGGTCATAAGAATGAAATGAATAATAATTTTTGTAAGTCTCATTTTTTTCTTTAATAATGAGTCAATCTATGGTGGTCTTTAATGCCAAACCTCACAAATGTATACTATTAGCAGTTAATCCTAAAGATCAGGAAATGTTTTATACTTTTTAAAAAATAATTCTTATTGCATTTGACCTGGTCAGCTGCCACAACTTCTCTTCTTAGTGGACAGTTACCAGAATCTGTCTCCTGATAATCTGCTGGTCCTATCTGTGGCTATACTCATAATGTACTGCAGAGGTTAAACCCTCTAACCAAAGAAAACTCACGAACCTATTCCAAAAAAGTACAGAATTGGAGTTATATTTTTGGCTTTTTTCCATGTGGAATAAAAACCTGCTAAATAAAGCACACAGGGCTACTTAAACTCTTAAAGTATTACTAAATAGCATTATTCTTGTCATCTCTGATCAATAAACCAGAGTGATACCATGGCATTATGTCACAGCTATTTTTCAGAGTGCTAACAGATTCTACTGAATTATCGCGTTCAAGCTTGTTCTCTAATGGGTTTCAAATATTTCAAAATAGCTAGTCAACAGGTTTAAAGGATTCCCACTGGCCAAATCAAACCTAAATAGTGATGGTAATGTAGTATATTCACTGACTAAAATAAGAATCCGCAAGACACATTGATATAAACAAACGCATACATAGAGATGAAGCCCAGGCAGAGACTCTGTCTCAAAAAAAAAAAAAAGAATAGAATTTTATTTTAAGAACTTGACTCCAGAAGTCATAATAATTTCTCGTGTTGGTATGATATGGATACAAGTTATTTTTACCAGAGTCTCTACTATTCTCCTCAGATTCCTCCTCTTCATCGTCATCAGAGTACTTTTTCTTTGGAGTCTTCCTCCGCAAACGCCTGCTTTGCCTCATTGGCCGAGAGGGGTGTCGCCTCAGTCTACGGCTACAGAAATCAGTATCGCTGTCATCATTAGATGGTGGATCTTCTTCACTTTCATCTGGGTTTTCATCAGATACAACAAACTCATCTTGAGATCTGTCCAAGATAAACCAGAGAAATTATGACGGTATACTTTGATTAGTGAACCCACTTTTGAGTTCTGAGTTCAAATTCTATTAAGTCCAGGGAATCATTAAGTAACATACAGTGCAACATATCTGGATAATTCTATCAAACACCCTTGTTTATAAAATGGAGAAATCCTTCTATCCTTCTCTTGGAAGGGGTGATAAAGATGAATTGATGAGGCTGAGGCGGGCGGATTGTTTGAGCTCAGGAGTTTGAAACCAGCCTGAGCAAGAGTGAGACCCCGTCTCTACTAAAAATAGAAAGAAATTAATTGGACAACTAAAAATATATAGAAAAATTAGCCGGGCATGGTGGCGCATGCCTATAATCCCAGCTACTCGGGAGGCTGAGGCAGGAGGATCGCTTGAGCCCAGGAGTTTGAGGTTGCCTTGAGCTAGGCTGATGCCACAGCACTCACTCTAACCCGGGCAAAAGAGTGAGACTCTGTCTCAAAAAAAAAAAAAAAAAAAAGATGAATTGATGCTGATTTTTGTACCTAAATTGCTTTGAACTCTTGGGATGTACCCCACGTACCTTAATACATTGACTGCCACACTAGAAAAAAAATTTTTTTCCCTTGGGGCCATGGTGTTTTATTATGAAAACAGAATAAAAACTTAGAAAACAAAACAATCCTTTCTAATTTAATGAAACATCTGTTATTTTTCACTGTTTTCTGTGTGTAAGTTATATGCAACTTGAAAAATAGTTCATGCAGGTCCCAAGGTAAAGAGACATGTAAGTTATTAATATATATGCTTCATGAGGCTCTGGGCTCAAAACTAGCGTGAGTTAAATACAACTCACATGGCAGTTAATGTGTTAAATTCAACATGTCCAAAAGTAAACTCATTATTTCCCAACTTACATCTCTCTTCTCTTCCCCAGCCTGATATTTGGTACCATCACCCACTGAGTAACTCAAACAAGAAACCTGGTATTGAAACCTAGGCTCTTAGGATAAATATCCAAATATTTTCCTTTTCATTTCTCACATCTAATCAATTACTAATTCCTCCCGAGTCTACCTCTTAAAAGATAATTGCTCAAACCTGATTTCTCTTCTCTTTTCAGGCTTTCATCTCACCTAAAGTACAAAATCAACTCTCCAAATAGTTCTCTAATCTCTAGTCTCATTTCCGCCAATCTATTCTCCAAATGAATGCCAGAATGAATCTTTCTGAAGCACAAATTTCACATTAGTCTGGTGTTTAAAACCCTTGTTTTTCATCATTTTCAGGATAAAGTCAAAATTCTTATGCATGACAAATAAAACACTCCATAATTTGGTTCTTTTTTATCTTTTGGCCACATCTCCAGCAGGGCACTGTCTACATCAGCCCCATATTCTTGCTATCCTGAGCCACCAAGAGTTTCCCAAATATTCTATAACACTGTATGGCTTACTACCTCAGACATGTGACTTCTCTGCTTGGAATGCCTTCTTTCCTCATCCTGCTTCTAATCCCAAACAGTCCAATCTGCCCAAATATCTATCCTTCAAATTTTACATCAAGGTTTACTTCTACTGTGAGGCTTTCTCTGACCTTCCTGGATTGAGCTAACTCTCTTCTGTACCCTAATTTATGCTTTACCTCTCTTTTAGTAGCAGTCACACAGAATGACTTTGTGGTTTATATGCTTGCTTCCCCCACTAATAATCTGAAAGGAGAAACTTTGCAGTATTGTTTCAATACCTACTCTGCACAGAAGCCTTTCCTGATTTTCCATACTGGATGACTTCCCCCAACCCAAACTTCTATGAGTTACCAGAGGATAGTATCTAATTACTTATTTGTCACACATGATTAGGAACCCCTCGTGGACCTGGTAGTAGAACAGAGGAACATGAAAGGCTCTCAGCAACGAAAGTTCAATTGCAGTTATTCAAATTTAAATGTAATTTTGAATATTAAATAACCACAAGCCTACTGTTCTGTTTTAAAGAAAGAAGGACCAAAATTAGCATTCTTGAATCTGCTTTAAATATTCTGAAAGTAAACAGAGATAGTCTATGTGCATGAAGAACAAAAGCCTCATCACAGCATGGCCAAGCCTCTCTGCTAGCCCAGCCCTATTTAAGCTGGTACGTAGGGCTTGGGGGTCTAGTGACAGACCACATACCCATCACTGATCTTGAATTCATCCTCACTCTCTTCTTCATCCAGGTTGCTGTCACTGTCCAGATCATTTAGTCGCCGGCGTTTCTTCCTTCGAGCAGCAGCTGCCCTCTGGGGTCGTTTATTTTCTTTTCTTTCTTCATCCAAAATAGTAGAGATGTCTTTCCCACGATGACCTGTGATGGTGGAGATATCTTTTCCTCGGCCAACTCCTGAGTTTGGGGTGGGTGGGGGGAGAATAACTGTTTATTAAAAGCTTCCCTTAAACTTTTAGAGATGGTCCTTAGTCGTGCTTAGCAGCTTCTTCATTAGATTTATTTTCTTCCTACAAATATGCAGTTTTCTCACAACTTCAGCTGACAGAGCTCTCATCAAGAGAGAGTTTTAGCACTTGTTTATGCTATTAAATGGAAGTTCACTACATACAGAACCTCTAAAATTTTTATATAATATACCATAATATTCACCCTTCTAAAGTGTATAATTCAGAGATTTTTAGTATAGTCATAATGTTGTGCAACCATCACCACTAACTAATTCCAGAACATTTTGATCTCCCCAAGAAGAAACCTTGCACCTATAAGTAGTCATTCAAGAATCTCTTCTTGAAAAAGCTATCTTTTGAACAAGGCTTTAAAAAGAGGCCAATCCACTTTTTTAAAAACTATGTTTTCAGGACAGAAAAAGTGAGAATTCAGGAGTAAAGATGTAAATAAGGCACGAATCTCTTGAAAAGCTTGTGACTTCTTCAGTTCCTCTACAAACAGCCTACTTAAAATCCTTCCCAGAGTTTTCATTATAACTAAGCATAAAGCAGAATGTTCCATATCAGAGCATTGCCTATATAGTGTTTTAATTAAATTGCTTCCAAATTTTTCTATTATTTTAATGCCATCTATTAAAGACTATGAAATCAATAAACTGATTTTCATAGGCTAATTTAAAGCAACCATTTAAATTCTGATTATCCATAGTTTTGAGACTTTGTAGTACCAAAGACAACAAAAGTAAATTTTTTAATCTATGGAGGAACATCAACATTTCATAATGTTACGATCAACAGATCATAAAGCAAAACTACATTAAAAATAGTAAGATCTGAGTCTTTACACTGACACTGTGTCCACAGATTATTTTGGATCTGATACAAAGATTATTTTGGATCTGAGACAATGAACATAACTAGTGATTATGATGCACACTGGGGAGGAGAATAAAAAATATGATCACTACCCTAATTTATGAATTAACTTGTTGGCAGAGTTACATGAAGAAGAGAGAATGACAAACACATACCTCCTCCATCAGCCTCTTTGATATCATCTTCTATAGCTTCATCAATTGCTTCATCAAACTCATCAAATCTAAAATATACACAGTGATCACATTATAGCCTGTCCTGTTTTTTATTTTTTTATGTAATTTTATTTCTTTTTTTAAAATATTTTTTTTAAAGGGGAAGGGAGTGAGGAGAGGGGTTCCATTTCCTTTTGTTTTTCTTGAGACAGAGGTTCACTGTTGCCCTGGGTAGAGTACGGTGGTGTCATCATAGCCCACTGCAACCTCAAACTCCTGGGCTTAAGCCATCCTCCTGTTTTGGCCTCCCAAGTAGCTGGGACTATAGGCGTGCACCACCACGCCCGGATAATTTTTCTGTTTTTAGTAGAGACAGGGTCTCACTCTTGCTTAGGCTGGTCTCAAACTCCTGAGCTCAAGCAATCCTCCACCTCAGCCTCCCAGAGTGCTAGGATTACAGGCACGAGCCACTGTGGCCTGTTTTTGATTCTTAAAGATCATCTGAGAACACAGCTAAGTGCCACCTATGAACCAGAAAGCAAGCCCTCACAAGACACAAAATCTGTCAGTGCCTTGATCTTGGACTTCCTAACCATCAAAGCTGTGAAAAATAAATTTCTATTGTTTATAAGCTGTCCAGTTTATGGTCATTTTGTTATAGCAGCCCAAATGGACTAAGACAGTGTCAGCAAAAATTTTTATGAAGGGCCAGATAGTAAATATTTTAGGCTTTTCATACTATACAGTTTCTATTGTAGTGCAAAAGCAGCCACACACTGTATGTGAGTAAATGAACGTGGCTGCATTCCAATAAAACTTTAAGAACATTGAAATTTGAATTACATACAATTTTCACAGAATATTATTTTTCTTGATTCTTTTTTCAACTATTCATAAATGTAAAAACGATTTTTAGGTCACAGGCTATATAAAAACTAGCAGTGAGCTAGATTTGGCCCACAGGCCATAATTTGCTGACCTCTTATTATACAAATTGTGCCAAAGTAAGTCAAACAAAATTATGGTTCCACAAATAATACTATTAGGACTATATTATTATTGCTATTGAAATTATATTATTATTACTGAAATTCATACACAGATGGTTAAAATTTTAGAATTAGGCAAATGTGTTTTTTCTCAAAGAGCTGTTTCCCCCGACTTAAAGAAAAGGACCAAGACTAAATGATTCTTAAGATTTCCTCACAAATAAAACTTCTTTTACTTTAGTGCTCAGGTTATGAAAAAGATAAAGTAACTTGTCTAAAACTATGCTAAAAATGGTAATTACCAGCCCTCTGTGGCTATTTAAATTAGTTAAAACTTCAAATTTTGTTTCTAACTAGTCATATTTCAAGTACTCAACAGTCACATATAGCTACTGGCCACCATATTGGACATCAAAGAAACACAAAATTTGTATCACCAGAGTAAATTCTATTGGAGAGGGTGAGATTAAAGGTACAAAGTACACAGTGGATTAAGAACAGCATCAAGTATAAAAGCTAGAGGCTGGGTGGAAAGTCCTGTGCCTGTCATCCCAGCTACTCAGGTGGCTGAGGTGATAGGATTGCTTGAGTCCAAGAGTTTGAGTCTAGTCTGAGCAAAACAGCAAGAGACCCCGTTTCTTTAAAGAAAAAAAAAAAAAGAGAACAAAAAGCTAAGTATTTTGCCTTCCATGTTGAGAATATATGATTTTAGAGGACTCACAAGTTTTGGGTTAAGAACTCTTCTATAATGTACTTTTTAATGGTTGTGTGGTATCTCACCAATGTATTATAATTTAGTTAAAACCATTTACTTCCAACTTTTCACAATTGCTATGCTATGAAAAGCATTCTTTTAGCTGTATATTGGCTTTTCCTTAAGATAAATTCTGAGAAAGCAAAAATCTGCATATGCATTCATTAGGGTAGAAGAATAGTTACAGAAAAAGCCAGATGCAAAGTTAACCAGAAACAGTATTTGTCCCCAAAGGACATGTGGCTGTAAAGTGACATAACAACTTATTTCTCTGAATGACTACTTTCTTACTGAGAGATTAATTTTCTAAAATCAGAAACCATCAGAAACTTCAGACATTTGCAATTATTTCAGTAAGAATGAAACATTACACTGTTGCCTGGAGGATCTAAGACACTTTTTTTTTTTTTTTGAGACAGACTGTGTTGCCCGAGCTAGAGTGCCATGGCGTCATCCTAGCTCACAGCAACCTCAGACTCCTGGGCTCAAGCAATCCTTCTGCCTCAGCCTCCAAAGTAGCTGGGACTACCTACAGGCATGCACCACCATGCCCGGCTAATTTCTTTTTTCTATATATTTTTAGTTGTCCGATTAGTTTCTTTCCATTTTTAGTAGAGACGGGGTCTCGTTCTTGCTCAGGCTGGTTTCAAACTCCTGAGCTCAAACAATCCACCTGCCTCGGCCTCCTAGAGTTCTAAGACATTTTTAACACAACTAAGCAGTCTTGATTTACACCCCAGGTGCAGAGCTCTAGATAAAAGATTTCGAGACACATCATTCCACGTATCTGCCTTAACTTCACTGTTTCCAAGGAAATAGGCCCCAGTGTCCGTCCTGTAGTCCAGATCTGATATACTGACCCCTTTATAGAGCCCTGCTTTGCTTTGAGCCTTTACTAACTATGCATGTGCTTCATTTACATTTTATCTAAATGCTACCTTCTTCAAAATCTTATAATAACTGTACTTTTTCTCTTGTTTGGTTAGATGTCCCAAAATTCCAATGTGACATTTTGTTTGCCCACACATTTGTTCCTGATATATAAATGTGTGTGTGTGTGTGTGTGTACACACACACACACACACACACACACACACACACACACATTTTTTTTTTTTTGAGAAAGAGAGAATCTCACTGTCACCTGGGCTAGAGTGCCATGGTGTTAGCCTAGCTCAGAGCAACCTCAAACTCCTGGGCTCAAGCAACCCTCCTGCTTCAGCCTCCCGAGTAGCTGAGACTACAGCTATATGCCACCATGCCCAGCTAATTTTTTCTATTTTTAGTAGAGGTGGGGTCTCATTCTTGCTCAGGGTTCAGGATGGTCTTGAACTCCTGACTTCAAGAGATCCTCCCGCCTCGGCCTCCCAGGGTGCCAGGATTACACACCACCACGCCCAGCCAGTTCCTGATATTCTTACTACAAATAAAATAATTGGCTTAAAGGGCATGCAAATTGTTCTTCTAAGGGTTGTAGCACAATTTATAACACAACCATTAAGTCAATTTTATCATTAAGGTTTCTTTCCTAATTTGGAAAAACAAAGTTATCTTCCTGTCCTTTTAATTTTTTTTTTTTTTTTTGAGACAGAGTCTCACTGTGTTGCCCCGGCTAGAGTGCCATGGCATCATCCTCGCTCACAGCAACCTCAAACTCCTGGGCTCAAGCGATCCTCCTGCCTCAGCCTCCCGAGTAGCTGGGACTATAGGCATGTGCCACCATGCCCAGCTAATTTTTTCTATATATTTTTAGTTGTCCAATTAATTTCTTTGTATTTTTAGTAGAGACGGGGTCTCGCTCTTGCTCAGGCTGGTTTCGAACTCCTGAGCTCAAACAATCCACCCGTCTCGGCCTCCCAGAGAGCTAGGATTACAGGCGTGAGCCACCGCGCCCGGCCACCTGTCCTTTTAATTTTGATTACTGAATATGGCCATGTATTATTTTCATGTTTATTGGTCATACTTACTGTTCTTTTGTAAAGTACCAGTTTGCATCCTTTGCCCATCTTTTCAGCAAGTGTGTTCATCTTTTCTTACTGATTTGTTAGAGATTTTTATGTACTAAAGATTTTAACCTCTTTGTCGTATGTTGTAATTATTTCTATCCGAAGGGCATATATATTTTTTTCAAGTTTTAAGAAAGGAAAACTGACACCTTGCCCTGCTACCATTATGAATAAGGGTACCATCACATCTCCAGTGAAGCCTCACTCCACAACCCCCTGCCCACAAAATACAAACAAAAAAGTTATCCTGTTTAGTTCTGGCCTTCAAAATAAATGAAATCTTATTTTTGCTTAAGTAATTGACCACCCAACAAAAAATGCTTTATTCTTGACCTCAGCAATGTTAATGTCTGAAGATATGCAACAACCATTGCAGATATCATGAGAAATACTACTATATTTCCATCATGAAAATATTGTACTCATTGCATTTTTTAAAATTCATAAGCCATTTCTTTTCAACTCTAATTTTATTATAAGCAAATATTTTCTTTTGTAAATCTTGTTATATTAGTTTTTTTAAATTTTTAGCTAATCAAATATCTTTTCCATTGTTGTCTCTGCCTAAGGTGTTACGCTTGAAAAGCTGCTCTTTACGCTAAGAAAATATGCCTTCCTTAAATTCTTTTGGGAACTAGGTAGTGTATAGATAAATGCATCACATAATACATCTTGGGCTAAAAAACATAGTTTACCCTAAGTTTCTATATGTTACTGTTATATAATTTTAGAGCTGAAAGGAATCATTTGCATCAATCCACCATCACAGATGAAGCAACCAAGACCAAGGGAAATGAAGCATTTAAATATATATGGCTAATAAGTGGCACACTAATTTTAGTCTTCTGACCCATAATCCAATGCTCTTTCCAGTCAACTTTGATGTCACCCTCTTTGTTAGAAGCAATAAGACATAAAATTATAAACAATTATTAAATGATAGTAGTGATGAAATTATAATAAAACAAATCTCTGCTTCTTTTAATAACCACAATTTTATCAGGACTGAAAGATAATACCATCAGTTCTGCCACAATGCTTGTTTTGAAAACACAAATTTGTTCCAATGTGACTGATATATTATAAAACAATTCAAGTATAATGTGTATTTTATATTTGCTTATGTGTAATTTTATTTGTGAGAAACACTAGGTAGATACAGAAAACGGCACCTAACTGAACCAAGTTGCATAGGAATACACAAAATACACATAACTAAAACATCTACCAGCTTACTACATGTGTTATAAACTATAGCAATTTGCATGTGATGGTACATCTTTCTGTCTGACTTCAGATAATCCTCTTCCTACCACCACACCATAATTTGTAAACGATAATCTTCCACTTCCAGAAACAAACATCAAGTCTTTTCTCAATGTAAAATGCCTTATTTACTACATTATTTATGTATTTCTTAACCATTTAACATATGTCAAATGACACTGCTATTTTTATTAAATTCCTATCTTTTTTTTAATGCATCACTATTGATTTGAGTTTGTGGCTCTAACCTATTTCCCATAATCCAATAGATTTTATTGTATAATTTTGCACAGCACAGTAATTTTTAGGAATACACATTATGTTACAGCAGAACTGACTTTACATTTGCACTTTCCATCTATGAGCTTTGAGTTCATATATAGAATACTTTTTATTTTTCAAAGTATTTTTTTAAAGACTAAAATAGGCAGTGTTCCCATATATATAAGGGATTTTATCCTTACTGCTCCCACTGTATTTTATAAAGTTTTTAACAATGACAGCTGAAAACTCAACACACAGAATTCTTCCATAGTCACTGATGAAAGTTTATAAATAAGAAGCAAGGTCAGGGAGTGGGGAGAAAATTTAAAAAAATTAAAAACTAAAAAAAAAGAAGCAAGCTCAAAGTTCAGAGTTTTATAAAATCCACTTTGTTTTTCATTTCCAGTTATTCAATTTAAAAAATTGTTTTGGTATTGTCCTAGTAGATTTTAGAGGCCACAAACCAAAAAATGGTCTAAAATAATTAAAATATAATTTATTTATTATTTGAGTCAGACAGTGTGATTTGGTTGAAAGAACACTAGATTAGCAAACAATCCTAAGGTAAGGTTTTAGTCTAGCTTAGCTACTAATCAAGTCACCATGGAAAAATATTTTTCTCTGGTATCTTTGGTGGCAAATGGTAAACCAGATTATATTTACTGATTCTTTCACTAGGCATTTATGGAACAGTTACTGTTTGTCAGCACTACACTATGTGTAGGTAACACAAGGCCATGTAAAAACAGAACTGGCCCTTACCTTCAGCCTAATAGTCTTCTGGCGGAGAGAAATGTTAAACAAATCATTGTAACCACACACATCACAAATTATAAGTGCTTTCAAGGAGAACAACTGGTTGCTATGAGGGCATATAATGGAGGGACTGGATCTAGAGAAGGTCAACAAGATAAAACTGGAAGGAAATTGGAGGCAAAGTAAGGGAAAATGTGGATGAGATGGAGCTGGAAAGGTAAGCAGAAATAAGACTATGCAGTGCCTTATGGACCTTGTTAAAAGCAACGATCCTTATCCCAAGCACTATAGAAATCTGACAAACTATGTTAAGCAGAAGAGGATGACACGAGCAGATTTATGTTTGGAAAAGATCACAATGTCTGCTCTAAAATTCTATGACTCTAAAGACAGAAGTTAAAATATATATATACAATTGCTAATAATCACTGGGATGAGAAAAACATACATGTCTGGGTCATACTGTCTAACTGTAAAAACATTTTAATGCGCTCTTTCACTGTAAACATTTCCATACATTTCATACCTGTAACTTATGCATTTCCGTGTCCTTGTTGACCGCCTTTCAAGCAAGTTTGCTTTGGGTTTTTTTGAATCTTTTTTCTTTTCTTCCTGATCTTCGGAAAAATCTGGCTCCTTTAAAAATATAAGTATATAGGTTATTATTTGTGTTCCTCGGAATTAATAGTTTTGTAACCACCATATATGCAGTACATGTGAAAGGTTTCAAAAAGTTTGAGATGATCCCCCTAAAACGGAATAAACACGGCAACACTAAGTATACAGATTAAAAAAGACCACTGGTGGCCGGGCGCGGTGGCTCACGCCTGTAATCCTAGCTCTCTGGGAGGCCGAGGCGGGCGGATTGTTTGAGCTCAGGAGTTCGAAACCTGCCTGAGCAAG